TAGTATTTTTCCTCGTAGTGCTCTTGGTCCTCCTCGCCCCCTTTCGTCCTCCACGTTGTCTTCGTCATCCGCCATGTCCTCGTTGGCTTCCTCTGCCTTCAACCCTTGTTCGTCCTGCGAGCCTGGTGGGCAAAACATGGCGCTTCCCGTTCTTGTTTGGTTGGGTTTGCGAACACGGGTTTTCGTTGACCACGTCTGCTAGCAAAGTGACTTGGCGGAAACGCGTCGCTATGGTTTTATTATGTATATGGCAGTTTTTATTTTGCAGAGCTTCGCTGGAACTGCACCGTAGGACCCCAAACGTCGTCCACGAGTGATGGGGTGATGCGATGGCAGCTGTCAGCGGTCATTCTGACTATTTGGGCTAGTCTGCGGCTGAGTGGGCCTGCGCGCAAGCGGGTGATCGGGAATGGGGATGTGGCGGAGGATGGAGGGGGAATCTGCTGGATGCAGGAAACAACATGGGAATGATAACGATTTTAATTGTGAGGCGCACGGGGGAGAGGAGCATGAAAAGCAGGACGTGGATGCGGGGGAGAAGAACAGCTAACGGGCGAGGGGAATGAGGAATATGAGGAACCTTTCATTTCGGATTCATTGAATGCTCTGTCAAACACTGCCTGAGTAGTCATCGGCGTGGTTGCCTTGCACCCCTTTGCCATCACTTCCCGCGCTTCCAAGCCTTGCGCGCCGCCCATTCCGCGTGCGCATCCACAACCTGTGGAATTGGCTTTCAATCGAGACCATGGTTTCGTTTGTGCGTGGCGTCGCCCTCTCGAGAAGAGGCAGGAATTTAGGACAGTTTCGCATGGGACTTTAGCTCGATTTCGCCTGTCGCCTTTGCGCGAAACATTGTTCGTGGTCTTCGAGTGGTCATCCGACGGCTTGACATTTAGCTGACCTGTGAAGTTGGTCGCGCTGTGGGTGCCGCTTGTAGTTGTCTTCGTCCGTGGTGGACTATGCATTGAATGTGACAGCGAATGCTTTTCCTTCCTCACTCTTCTGCGTCGTCGTCTCTTTCCTGCTCTTGATGCCTTGCTTCACACGGGGGTATTTCATTTCATCGCTGACCTTAGTTTTGGACAACCTTCATCGTCTAATGTTTGTTTTCTGAATTGCGGCTGAATTGGCCACCAGGATACGTAAACCTACGAGAGGACTTCGTAGGCCGAGAGCTGCTTCATTGCAGTATTTATTGCATTTTCCTTATCCGCTCCTCTTCCCTTCTCCTTCGTGATGTTGTTTCAGGTTTGCAGTGGCAGTGCGATTTGATCACGGTGCTGGCTGCTGCGTGAGAGGTGTCTCTATGCATGCAGAGATTATGCCCATGTGTTCGTGTACGTATCTTCTGGTGCAGGTGTTGTGCTTGCCCCGGCAGGGTCTGATTTCTCAGTCCTCCACCCGTTGGGCGTGACGGGCACGTGGAAAGCAAATCGGTGCCGTGTTGGAGTCGGGATCACGGGGACGAGCGGCTCCACGTGCCATGCCTCGTAGCACGCGCGTTGCCGTTTCGAGGTTGGCTCGATGCATTCCAGGGCGCAGCTGCCGTAGCGCGCGCGCCCGCGGGCCCTGCGTAGAGGCACCAACCTCGACGGTTGTCTGGGTTGCGTGGGGCGTGCGTTCGGTGGGTGGCTAGAGGACGCGACGGATGTGGAGGTGGGTGAGCAGGTGGGGACGAGGGAGGAGCGTCTCCAGCGGAGTGTCAAGTGTCAGGGCCTGCTCCCTCGCTTCCTTCACTCCTCGCCTGCTTCGAGAGCCTCTGCGGCACTGACTGGGAGCGTGTGGAACCCGCGAATTAGAAAAGGGGGCGGCGTCACTGACACCGCACTCCCATACTTGCGCCTTTCTTGGCGCCCTTTCGGGCCGTGTCAGGCATTGTGGCTTCGGAGGCCCAGCAGGACCCGAAACGCAGGACAGGCACCAAGCTGACACACATAGACACAAACGTGGTATTCGAGGTCTTTGGCTTCCTGGGAAGATCCTGGGCGAGCCCAGGTCCACGTGAGATTCGGTAGCAAATCATGGAATCTTGGTGTACCCTTTCAATACTGCCTTAGAGTCGAGTGGCGTCGACTAGCGTCTGGGAGTCGACGGGATAGCGCAGATTTGACGTCGGTCAGCGTCGACTAGCGTCGATTTAGCGTCCATTCGCCTCGATCAGCGTCGATTTGCGAGAGCCGACAAGATGGAATGGGAGGCTCCCATGAGCTGCCACCGAAACGTGAGGGCGGCCCTTCGGCCTTCCCGGAGCTTCCCGGAGGCCTGCCTATGCCCAGCTGTCGGGGGGTGCCGCCGTGGCCGTCCTCTTGGGCGTTCCGGGCCGTGGCGCCCCTGCCGTCAGTGCCTCGGAGGGGCGGAGGTGGAGCTTCTCCGAAGGGCAACAACAAGGGCGCTTCTTTGAGGAGGGCTGGCGCCCTGCTCCAACTGGGCCTGAGAGATCTGGTGTCAGCCAAGCCTGGCGCTCAAGCGGCGCAATGGCAGAGCTCGGCGAGGAGTTGCTCGGCGAGGAGGGAAGAGGAAGAAGAGAAGGAGAGAGGAAGGAGGACGCCAAAACAATTGAAGCCGGTGCTCTGGCAAGAGCACGTGGAGACTGGAAGCCCACTGCTGTTTGGGTCTCCCTCTCCCTGTTTGGTCTTGAGAGTAGGTGGGGTCATGTAAAAAATGGCGACCGCCCATTCACCGTCTAAGTAACACGGGTCGTGGTTTGCATCGGGAGTGCGGGTGCTCGATGCCGTTGATGTTTTCTGTGCATCGGCCCGATTCCCGATAGTCCAACCCCTCGACCCTCCTTACACCACGCTCCTTAATTGCTGATGTGCATCGTCGACACCAGTTTCGAGTTTGCTTTGTGTTTCGATTGCGAAGGCCCTATGGCCGGTGCCGCCGTCCCTTGAGGCCTCGGGCCTCGTCGGAAAGCAGAGGGCGAGGGCGGGCCGGGAGGGTGGTATTCTGACCCAGGACCACCCCCCAGGACCACACCACGGGACCCTCCCCTCCGCGGGGAGGGGATCAAATGGCAGGGGCGTCTCTTCGACTCAATGACAACGTTGCTTCATTTCGCTGCGGATGCGCTGCTGTATTTCGCTTTGGCTGGCGTGCTCGAGGAGGAGGGCCCAGGGAAAGGGGGGGAGCTTCAACGGACTCAGGGGAAGGAGGGGACGTGATGGCGGCGGCGACGCGACTGCGGCAGTGACGGCGATATCAACGGAACAGCCCCTGTCACACGCCGACAGGGTCGGCGGATTTTCTTTGGCCTATCAGCTCCCTAATGGGCCGCATTTCGGCTGCCCGTGGTTCCTGACCAAGCAATTCACAGGGAAACTTACGTTTCCAGTGAGTTGCTCGATTGCAGTACAGCAGTGACCAGCCGATCGCGCAACCCATACCGAACGAGCGGTCATTTTGTGTGAATTCTGCCTGCTGGAGCTCCTCTTGGCGGCTTCGGGCAGCAGTGCTTCGCCTAAGCCAGATCGCCTACAGCTTCCCCCCCTGTGCCCCCGGTGGCCTCTGGAGGTCTCCAGAGGTCGCCGGAGGCCCCGGGTGGCCGCAGGAGGCCCACAAAGCCACAAAGGAGAGGCCCAAAAGGGCAAAGCGCACAGCAAACAACTTTGACGGGGAGGAGGAGGATGCTGAGGAGGAGGAGGAGGAGGAGGATAATGCTTGAGAGGAGGAGGAGGAGAAGGAGTAGGAGGAGGATAATGCTTGAGAGGAGGAGGAGGAGGAAGAGGAGGAGGAGGAGCACATAATAATTATCGTAATTAAACTAATAATAGTATTAAGTAGTAATAATAACACTAATATTAATGTTAAGAGTAATACACATAGTAATAATACTAAGACTCGTAATAATAGTAATAAGCATACTACTAATCTGAATATGTATAAGAAGAAGAGTACTAAGGCTCATACGAATAATATTATTAATATGAGTAATACGGAGACGAATACTAAGAGCACTAATAATACTAATACAAATAATACGACTAGTACTACGAGTAATACTAGTAATGATAGCAATAAGAGGGCAACTAGTAATGCGATCACTAATAAACATATTACTAATTAGGAAAGGATAATACGAATACTAATCATAAGAATACGAATAAGAGTACAACTACTAATACTAGTAATATTCATACGACTATGAAATGCTACTAATAATGAAATACTAGTAATTATATTAATAATATTACCAATACTAGTAGTAGGACAAATCGGAATATTAATAATGATATGATCACTAGTTCTCATAATATTAATAGTACCAATCAAATTAAAACATCATCATCGTAATACTAATAATACGAATGCTAGGAATAATACTAACACATATGACTAATACTACAAACAAAACGTAATAATAAGAGGATAAAGAGGAGGAGGAGGAGGAGGAGCAGGAGCAGGAAGAGGAGGAGGAGGAGGAGGAGGAGGAGGAGGAGGAGGAGGAGGAGGAGGAGGAGGAGGAGGAGGAGGAGGGAGGAGGAGGAGGAGGAGGAGAGGAGGGAGGGAGGAGGGAGGAGGAGGAGGAGGAGGAGGAGGAGGAGGGAGGAGGAGGAGGAGGAGGAGGAGGAGGAGGAGGAGGCGGAGGAGGAGGAGGAGGAGGAGGAGGAGGAGGAGGAGGAGAGGAAGGGAGGAGGAGGAGGAGAGAGGAGGAGGAGGAGGAGGAGGAGGAGGAAGAGGAGGAGGAGGAGGAGGAGGAGGAGAGGAGGAGGAGGAGGAGAGAGGAGGAGGAGGAGGAGAGGAGGAGGAGGAGCTATGAGGATGGGGGCAATCACAAGCCCTCCGCGAAAGGGCGGTGCGACCGCGCTCTTTGGCGTCCGTCCATGTGCGTGCTTACGCTGCGTCCAGTCTACCGTTCAAACGGTCGAAGACGGCGGCGGCGGCGGCGACGACGATGTCTGGCGGCGGCGGCGGCGGCTGCCAGGCCGCGTCCGTTGGTCCGCCGAGGTCTGTGCCACCCTTCGGCGGAGCCCCCCTCTGCAGGCTGCCTGGGGGCTCGCATGGCCCAGGGCGTCACTGGGGAGGAGGCGCCCCGCCGCGCGCCTCGGGTCGGTTCTGCTCTCGTCGGATGCCCCGAGTCACGAGGTTGAAGCCGCCGACCTGCGCCATGACAGTCAGACAGTTCTGGGCCCCAGGGGAAGGTACCGCAGCGGTGCGCGGAGAAGGCGTTTGGATTCTTTGCCCCGCCCGGTAGGGCAGACGCGTGGAGGTGGCAGCTCAAGCTTTTCCCGTGTAGTACCCCCCAAGTTGGGCTCTCGGGTGCTTCTTGGGCCGTCTTGAAACCCTCTTCTGGGTTTTTAGGGCCGTGTTGGAGCGATCTTTGGGGCCTTCTGCGCAGTTTTGGACGCTATGAAGACGAAGCAACGAAGCTGTGGACCATGTAAGTTTTCCTGCGGGGTCGGGGCGATGTTTGACTCTTGGTGCTCTCTGGGGGGCTTTCTTGGAGCCTTGTTCGGACGTCTTGGAGGTCACTTTGGCACATCTTGGTTGTTCTCGAGCTCACCTCGGCGTGTTGGAGCCTAGCTTGAGCCAGCTGAGATGGCATCTTGGGCATCTTGGAGGCCACGGAGTGCAGATGCCGAGGCTCTGGAGGCCCCAGGGGTGCGTTGATGAGCCTGAGAACCCCCCTTGCCCCCATCTGATCCGATTTTCGACCCCTTGGGGAGGGGGAGTGGGGGAGGGGGATGGCCAATTATTCCACACGCCTTCTCACCCCCGCCAAGCGGCGGTTGGCGGACTCGGGACCTGTGCTCTCGCGAGGCTCTTTGCAGTTTGCGAAGTTCGCCTCAACGCCTCGCCCGCCCGACCCGCCCGCCAGGGGGCCCTCCCGCCCGACCAGCTCGTGGGAGCCTCCCCGCCGGACCCGCCCGTTGGGTTCCGCGCGTTCGCCTGCCTGGAAGCGCGCCCGCCTGCCTCCGAGTCCCGCCCGACCGACTGCTCGGTCCCGCTCGGCCGACCCGCTGCTGAGGGTCTGCCCGCTCACAGGGCCTGGAAGCCCGCCCGCCCGCTTCGAGGCCTCGCCCGCCCTAATTACACGCCCGCCGGGGCCCGCCCGCCCGACTCGCCCGTCAGGGCCGCCATGCACGACCTGCCCTTCAGGGTTTCGCGCGGAGCAGGATGATGATAGCAATAATGATGCAAACATGCATTTTCGGAGTTCCTCGCGGGTTCCTTGGAGCGATGCTGGACCCCCCTGGTGGCGTCTACAGCGCGGACCTCCAGACGCTCACGTCTCAGCACTTCTCCTCGGCGTCGAGCGAGGGTGGGAAGTGAGAAGCACACGGCCTTCTGAGATGGCTGCGGGGCTGGTCAGAAGCCCTTTGGCCTTCTGAGAAGTTTTCTGTATCTTCGGGGCAGGCTTAGCACACGTTTCAGAAGGCCGGAGGACTTCCGAGCCTTCTGAGAAGGCCCGCCCCCTCTCAATTCTCCCCCTGGCTGGCCGCCGATTTTCTCCTTCAAAGATGACCGGCGGGCCCATCGCAGCTGACATGTTTTGTCTCCTCGCGCTCATTCTTGCTGGGGAGAGGATCGACTTCAGGGACCCCGCTGCGCGCGCTCGCGCTATCCTCCGAGCGCAAGCGCCTCGCGGAGGAGGATGGTTGCGATGAGGGTTGAGATGAGTGTTGAGATGATGATGAAGATGCTGTTGATGATTATGATGATTCTGATGATGATGCTGATGATGATGATGATGCTGCTGCTGATGATGATGCTGATGCTGATGCTGATGCTGCTGATGATGATTCTGATGCTGATGATGATGTTGATGATGATGATGCTGATGATGATGATGATGATGCTGATGCTGATGATGATGATGATGATTATGATGATGATGATGGTGGTGGTGGTGGTGATGATGATGATGATGCTGCTGCTGATGATGATGATGATGATGATGATGATGATGCTGATGCTCATGCTGATGATGATGATGATGATGATGATGATGATGAGGAGGAGGAGGAGGAGGGGAGGAGGTGGTGATGATGATGATGATGAGGAGAGGAGGAGGAGGACGAGAGGAGGACGAGGAGGAGGATAATGAGGAGGAGGAGGAGGCGGAGGAGGAGGAGGAGGGAGGGAGGGAGGGAGGGAGGGTGGGAGGGAGGGAGGGAGGCATGGAAGGGGGGAGGGAAGGAGGGAGGGGGGGAGGGAGGGAGGGAGGAGGAGGAGGAGGAGGAGGAGGAGGAGGATTAGGAGGAGGAGGAGGAGGAGGAGGAGGAGGAGGTTTGAGAGACGAAGGAGGATAATGACGTTTCAGAGGAGGAGGTCGGGGAGAACGCTTAAGAGGAGGAGGAGGAGGAAGTGATAGCCCGATCAGGCGGCCAGGTTCATAGACGACCTGCGGCTGGCCGACCTCGTCGCGGTTGGAGCTGCGGGCGGGCCTCACGTCTCCTGCCCTCCCGACCACCTTACCTCCTCCTTCCTTTCTCTTTATCCTCCCCCTCTTTCTCTTACTCCTCCTGTTCTTTCTCCTGTGCTCCTCCTCCTGTTCTTTGTCCTGTTCTTCCTCCCTCTCTTATTCCATCACTTTCTTCCTCCCATCCTTCTTCCATCCCTCCTCATCCTATTCCTCATCGTCGTCCTCGTCCTCCTCCTTCTTGTCTTGCTCCTCCTCACCCTCCTCCTCCTCCTCCTCCTCTCTCCTCCTCCTGTCTCCTCTCCTCTCCTCCCCCTCCGGTTCCTCCTCCTAATCGTCCCAGGGCTGTCGAATCCACCTGTACGCCACTCCCCGGTTGCCACGAGCGTGCGGTGCTTTCGAGCAGTTCCAGCATTGACTCCCCCCTCTCCTCGTCCTCCTCGTTGTTTTCCTCCTGTCCTCCTCCTCCTCCTCCTCCTCCTCCTCCTCCTCTCTTGCTTCCCATCGGCCTTTTCCTCCTGGCCAGCTCCTTTTCTTCTGTCCCTCTTCTCCTCGCATGCTCGTCCTTCTGCTCCGCCTCCCCTCCTTGCCGTCTTTCTCCGCGTCCTCGTTCTCGTCGATTTCCTGCTTCCCGACCTCCCCTCCTCGTCTTTGCCGTCCTCCTCTATTCGTCCTCAGTCCTCCTCTTCTCGCTGCTCTCCTCCTTGTGCCCGAGCTCTGGCCTTTGGCCTTTGGCCGCGGCGGCATCACATGGGGGTTGCCTGCTCGGGGCAAGTCCAACCGCAAGGAGAGCGTGAATCTCCAGATTAGGGCATCAGGTGGATCATGAGTTGGATCATGATGTAGATTATTGATGAATGATGGTGGTGGCTGTAATGGTGGTGATGGTGACGGTGACAGTGACGGTGACGCTGATGATGATGCTGATGATAATGATGATGGTGCTGATGATGCTGTTGATCATGATGACGAAGATGTTGCTGAGGGTGATGCTGGTGATGATGATTCTGATGGTGCTGCTGCTGATGATGGTGGTGCTGCTGACGTTGATGACTGATGACTGGTAAAGGATGGTGGTGGCGATGATGATGATTCTGATAACGAACATGATGATGCTGACAATGCTGATGTCGATAAATGATGTTTGGTGATGGATGATTGTTGATCGTAGTGATACTGATTTTGGTGATGAGGATGAGAAGGATGACGATGACGATGATTGATGATGATGCTGATGATGATGGTGCTGATGCTGGTTATGTCGATGATGATGCTGATCATGATGATGATGATGCTGACGATGATTATGCTGATGATGACGACGATGTTGATGATGATGCCCATGATGATGATTATGATGATGATGCCCATGATGATGATGGTGAGGTGACGGTGAGGTGATGATGATGACGATGATGATGGTGATGATGATGCTGATGTTGATTATGACGATGCTGATTGTGATGATGCTGCTGCTGATGCTGATTCTGAAGATGACGATGGTGATGATGATGCTGATGATGATGAGGATGATGATGGTGATGATGACGATGATTATGATGATGTGGTTGAGTTTGATGATGGCGATGACGATTATGATGATTCTGATGATGACAATCAGGACGAGGCGGATGATGCTGCTGCTGATGCTGATGCTGATGCTGATTATAATGATGACGATGCTGATGATGGTGATGATGTTGCTGATGATGATGGTGATGCTGATGCTGATTATGATGATGCTACTGATGATGATGCTGGTGATGATGATGCTGATGATGCTGCTGATGAGGATAACGATGATGATTGTGCTGGTGCTGATTGTGATGCTAATTCTGATGCTTATGCTGATGCTGATGATGATGCTGATGATGATGCTGATGGTGGCGATGCTGATGCTGATGATGATGTCGATGTTGATGTTGATGATGATGATGGTGATGATGATGATGATGATTATGATGATGATGCCCATGATGATGATGATGATGATGATGATGATGATTATGATGATGATGATGATGGTGAGGTGATGGTGAGGTGATGATGATGCTGATGCTGATGCTGATGCTGATGCTGATGCTGATGATGATGATGATGATGATGATGATGATGATGATGATGATGATGATGATGATGCTGAAGGTGGAGCTGATGCTGCCTGGCCGTGTCTTCCACTGCGGACAGTACAGCTTCAGTTTGCAGTGCGTTGCATGGCTCGCGCGAGACCGAGTCCTCACGGTCGAGGGTCTTTGCCCGTGAAGGCTCACGAGTTCCAGTGAACTTTGTAGAGACGATGGCCCTCCGGGGAGCTGCACACGACCGAGGGCAGCACTCAGCTGGAGAGAATACTTCAGGAGGGAGAGAAACACACAGACACAATTAATCGTCGATTCCCCAGAAAATATGGGAACATGTTGGAAGTGGGGGGGAAGACAAAAACCCAGAAAATATGGAAAGATGGGGAATCCGGTTATCTGTGTGTATTTATTTGTGTGTCCTCGGGCCCCTTGAATACTCTCCGCTCACACGCGCCCGAGTGTCAGAGCAGCTCGTGTTCCATATTCTATGGCCTGCAGAACGCGGCCTCCTGATGCTTTGATCGATGGTGCGTCCAAGTCATTGACTGCGGCCATGTCCGCAGCTCCTGCGGGCACTGCCCCTCCAGTGAAGTAAGGAGTAAATGCGGTACCAACAGCGTTGCTAACAAAGTTGCGTGCCGTGATGTACAGCTCCCACATTGCAACTCAATGCCCGTAGCGATGTCCCAGAGAGAACGCAATGCTAAGAGAAACCACCCATTCGAGCACCTTCACGATGAAAATGACAATGCGGACTGTGTACTCGATTGGGACGAGGACGATTCAGGCCATGTTCTTGACGACCTCGAAGAGCATGCCGATCCTTTTCTCTTTTGGCCTCGGGGGCGCCACGCCCTGGCCCACGTCCTTGATGATGCGGTCCACGCCCTCGGGAACATTGCCGTTCGACCACTTCTCGTGGATCTTCTCCTTGCGCTCGTCCATCGTGCCCATTCTTAAGCGTGAAAGCGTGGCAGCACTCCGCGGCGATGTAGGCACGCTGGGTGGCCGTCAGCGCAGCAGGCGGGTGTGCCGGCCTGCACCGCGTTGGCTGCAGAGGCGGAGGTCAGCTGCGAGGCGATCGCGTGGGCGATAATCGTGTACTGCCGCTCGTGCTCCCTGGTGCGCGCAGCCTCCTCCACGGGCTCCACGAACGCTACGTAGCGCTTGCTGTGCTACAAGAGAGGCGCTTCGGCGACTTTAACCTGGCCCTCCGTATCTGAACTGCTCGAACTGCTCGAACGAAGCTTCTTCTTCTTCTTCTTGCCACTATCCCGGTCACGATCACCATCGTGCTCGTTCGGCTTCGGCTGCCAAGTCGGCGGCCAAGCACCGTATCCGCGAGATTGCTGCTGACCGCGCCAGCCATTGAATTTGGCCATTTCTGCTTGCTTCTGGCGGTGATCTGACATCACGGACCTTTGAGACTGAGCAACTGCTGCACGATGAGGGGGAAATGCGTGGACCAACGATCGAATCTACGCATAAACGAACAGAAAGCACTTGCAGAAGTGTTCCGTGAGATGTGCTATCTGCCTGGCCAGCGTGAATGTAGCACGCAGCCTTTTTGGCTGTGTTGCCTGTCTGGCCCCCCTTCCAGCACGTCTTGGAATGTCTTCGAATGGGTGTCACCCCTCGGGGCGTGTTCTATCTGCCTGCTCCCGCCCCCTCTGGGCGCGTGCTTCCAAGGGGGGTGGCTCCCAGGCGGCCCGCGCCAACCAGATTGCACGTGGACGGCCCTGGTGGCCCCATGGGTGTCCCTGGAGCCTTGAGCCATAAAGGGCGACTGATGTTCTCCAAATAGGCTTGCCCTACAGGAGTCTTAGCTCAAACCCTACTAATTGGTCCGTTGCCCCTCCCCCCTAATTCCTATGCCCCCCCCAGATTCCTATGGCTATGCCTATGCCTATGCCTCCCCCCAAACTCCTGTGCCTATGCCTATGCCTATACCTGCTTGCTTGCCTGCTTGCTTACTTGCCTGCGCGCTTGCACGCTGGCTTGCCTGCTTGCTTGCTTTCTTGCTTGCTTGCTAGCGCGCTTGCTTGCACGCTTGCTTGCTTTCCGAGTTGCGGATTCTAAGCATGTTTGATTCTTCTGATTCCTTGATTCGAGTCTAGTAGATTTGGAGTCAACGCTGGCTGATGTATACACAGATAGTTATAACTTAACAGTGCCCCGTCCATTCCTTTTCTCTTGCATGCGCGCTTTGTTGCCGTAGTGTCTCACGCCCTCCATGGGCCCCTCGACTGGACTTTTGACTTGTATCTGCTTAACGGAGGGTGGACAAGCAGACTTGTGTCCTTATGGCTGAGCGTTTCACGAATCTATTGCCCAAACTGGGCCCAGAACTGCCTTCCGAGGCATGGTCTGACGATGTGATGGAGTACTCGGGTAGCAACGCGTCTGCCGCTGCTAGTGTATCGGGTTCAAAATGCACAGAGCTTGGCTACTATTATGCCCTGAATCGGTTTGTCGGTTGCCTTGCTGCCCGCCGCCGCAGATGGGGGTCCCCGGCTTCGCCAAAGCCATGCTCCCAGGCAGAGTTAAGATGAAGATAGTGAGAGTTAACAGGCCATGCCTCGTGTCCAGGGAGGTGGCGAGTGCTGTATCGCGAATTCCAAGGTGCCAGTGGCAAAGCGCTGCTTGCATGGCACGATTCTTCGAACTTTGATGTTCATTTTGGAAGCTGGATGTTTCCTGAAATCGACAGGAACAGAAGAAAAGAGTGACTACACCAAACAGGAATGCCAAGGGGTTGACGCCCACTGCTGAAAAGATGCTGTTTCCATGAAGTACGAGACGTACACTGAATGCGCCGAGTTAGTTTCGCATACTACTGCATCCTGACCGGGCTCGTTGAACCCGGCGAATGCAGTTGGGAAAGGGAGTCCTGTGTTTCAGAAGAGCCCCCAAGAAGTCGGGTAT